AAATGAAGCTGCTTTGCCACCACCGGTGTCACTACTCCTGTTGTTCTTCCTCCCCTTGCTTGCTTGACAGGCAGAGAGACTGTGAGCCAAAAGGCCATGCAATTTCCTGCTCCTCCTCCTCACCACCACGGTGGTCTGGGCCAAAGTGAGGGGCAGGTGAACAAGTAGGTGAACAAGCAAAGGTGAAGAGAAGAACGGCTGCAGCAGTCTCTTGTCCAACCTTTTGCAATGGCCCTGTGTCTTTCACCTACCTTTAGAATTTCACTTCTCTTCACTTACTAAACTTGCTTTTGTTTGTTTGCTTTGAAAAAAATATATTGCCTCATTATGGAGAGTATCTTTTTCAGCAATGCTTTACATAAATGGAAGCTTTTTCACCCTGGAGATTTCTTTATACTTTCTGAAACTTGTCATTGGTTTGATTTCACACCCACCATCTTTCTGTGCCTAGAATTATGTTTTTCTGCATTTGAAACCTGGGATATATATATATATATATATATATATATAACCTTCCTGATGTTCTGTTGAGCACTTCATTTCCTTAACAACCCTCAGATGTGCTGTCAACCTCCAGAAGCATGTCTTTGTTTGAAAACAGGTTGGTCAGCAAGAGGGTAATGAAAGGACTTCTTGCCGTTGTTCCACGGAAATGACTGAACTCAAGTTGTGTGTGGGTGCAGACTCCACTGATCTTTGTGTGGGCAGCAAACATTCAAAGAGCAGCTGCAAAAGATTGTTCCCACTCAATCCTGGCAAGAGAATGACACACTGAATATAATCAGTATGCTATGGAGAAGCTGTGGAAAGAAATAAAAAGGGTCTAGGCTCTCCTACCGCCATCCTCAGAGACGTTTCTACCCCATCCCTTCCCGTCTAAATGAGCATTTCTTTATTCTGATGACTGATTTTGTAGCTAGCTGAATGTAAAACCAACCATTTCTAACTGACCAGTCAAGCTGCTGTGAGGAGGAGAGGAGCTATGGCTCAGTGAGCCCAGCTTTTCATGCAGGAGATTCCTGGCTAAGTCCTTAGGCAGGACTTGGAAAAATCATGCCTGCACAAGGGATGTGTGGTAGTGAGAAATCCATTTCATTGGAGCCAGATGGACTTCTGTATGAATCAGAGTCTGCTTTAAAAGTGGAAAGCCAGGTGCTGGCTCAACTCACATCAGACTGTGTCAGCACCAGTATGCAGGAAACATGATGGACTTCTGAAGGACCGCATCAAGGAAACCCATTATATTTTCACTGCCACCCAAACAGGTTCCTCACTCATCTCTGCCTGAAACCCTGGAGATTCACTGGAGTGAATCACTTCTGATAGTACTGAACAAGGCAGCTCAGTGGTCTGGACCAGAAAACAGCAACTTCCTATGTTTCTGTCTCAGAGATGCTAATTTCTCCAGACAGTGGTCAAGGGGCTGGGAGTGTACAGCATCTCAGTAATGCTATTCCAGCTCCCTTAGTAGATAAAGATACCCTATACAAAGAAATCAGATCCTAAAGGAAATCAACCCTGACTGTTCTTTAGAAGGCCAGGTACTGAAGATGAATCTCAAATACTCTGGCCACCTCATGAGAAGGAAGGACTCACTGGAGAAGACGCTGATGCTGGGAACAATTGAAGGCAAAAAGAAAAAGGGATGACAGAGGTTGAGGTGGCTAGATGGAGTCACTGGGGCAGTGGGTGTGAGCTTAGGTGGACTCCAAGGGATGGTGGAGGACAGGAGAGCCTGGAGGAATGTTGTCCATGGGGTTGTGAAGGGTCAGATGCAACTCGGATGTGACTAAACAACAAATACTGGCTTCAGGCACACAAGTACTTTCTTGCCTGGAGATGCCAGAGACTTGAGTGGATGCCTTCTGCATGCAAGGAGCTCCCACTAGGACTGAGCTCTGGCTTATCATTTTACTGATGTCACCTTTATGGTACACATGCATGTAATTATTGAGCATTACCTCTACCTGTACCAAGTATAACATGCATATTCACATACTACAAACAAGATTCCACCTGCAACAAACTACACGCAAGGATACCTGAGAAAGCACTTTCTGCTTGACTAAACTGTCCATCTGCAAGGTTATCCAATGGCATGTTTCTGGTGGTTCATATGGATGAACCTTTAGCCCTATTAGAGTCCACCTGGAGAATATCCTTCTGTGTGGTGGCTCCATTTCTTTTCTTTTCTTTTTCTTTTTTTTTTGAAAATTTTATTAAGATTTTAAAACTACAAACAACAATCATCGCACACACCAGATTTACTGGATCAGCCCCCTACAACATATCTTTTAACATTTTATGATCCTACTATAATTTCTTTAATTTCTTTATAATTTCTTGAAAGCATCATTAGATCAAAACCAAATTCTGTTTCTCCAGCCAATAGAATAATAATAATAGTCCGAATTGGATAGAAGTCACTATCTTCCTCTTCTTCATCCATGAAACCAAATTCATCATTTCCTACAAAGTCCTGATTCTCTTAGTGTCAAAGGAAAACATCTCCAAGTTAAATGAAATTGCAACATTTTCTTTCTCCTTCAGTGGAAAGTTTGATCTAAATGTTTCTGGACAATTCAAAATCTTTTCAATTTTCTAATAGCAAATAACTTCCTCATCACCACAATCATATAAACATAAAAAATATCCATTTAACATCTCTACAATTTTCTTACCTACTCTACTTAATGATAAGTAATACTTATAATATCTTTTAGAACATTTTCTTTAAGCTAAATTACTAGTGTTTCATCTCATTTAAACACCATTTAATCAAATATGGTTAGTTCCATATAAAAGTCCAGCTGTTTACAGTCTTTAACATATATCATCAACATCAATAGCTTATTAAAAATACAGTCAAAGATATCCATTTAACAATAATACCTTTTAAACAAGATTTCACTAAGCTAAATTGCTGCTATTTCACCAGCAATGATAGCTTAACCTTTCTACCTCACATGTGAGCATATCAAGCTATATGAATCACCCTTTTATTTTTTTAATTTGTTTTTGAATAGAAAGAAATTTCCCTTATCTTCCCTTTACACCCCTGCCATGTTTATTTTTTTCTTTTTCTTTACCCCTCTACCAGACCTTTCTGTTTTTTTTCCATTAATCCACCATAGTGTCTGTAATGGAGTCTTCAGTTGCAGCCACATAAACATAGCTTCTTTCAGATGATCAGCTGAATTGTCCTTCTCTAAGATGACACGCAGATCCCATGGAAGCTTGCTTCGTAATGTCTGGAATAAATCATACGTCTTGAATTGTGGCCAAGCTATCTTCTCCCTCTCCAGCATACCACTTAAATCAGTTGCACCTATTTTCTTTCCAGTTTCTGATTTTCCTTCTGTCTGTAATGGAGTCTCCAATTGCAGCCACATAAACATAACCTCTTTCAAATGACCAGCTAAATTGCCCTTCTCTAAGATAACACGCAGATCCCATGGAAGCTTGCTTCATAATGTCTGCAATCTTAAATTGTGGCCAAGCTGTCTTCTCTTTCTCCAGCCTGATACAGAGCTCAGTTGGACTTATTTTCTTTCCATTTTCAGATTTTCCTTCTGCTTGTTGGATATTTTGCATATTCTGTTCAGATGCAGGTTGCTTGTTGAAAGCGAAACTAAAAGCAATATCTAATTTATCAAAGCCACTTTTTTGTTCAGTTAAAAAACAATCAAGTCGCTCTAAAACAGTTTTCTGACGCATTATTATTGCCTGCTGGGATAATTGCACAGCTATTAGAGAAGATCGTATTTCCAGGAATGATTTCTGTATTCCCTCCCTGATAGCAGTAAATTATCAAGGCTTGGCAGGTGTCCAAGGGTCCCGGAACAAAGAGAAAAATGGCCGCTACTTCTTGGCAGCAGTCCAACACAGACCAATCAGAGAAAGATCCTCTATTACTCAATTCCACAGCACAATTATTTGCCCTTGGAGAGATTAAAGAAGATAAATCTTTTCCTAACTTACAAACAGTTCTGTCTTTCTCTCCATTATGCAATTCGCCGCTTTTCAAATCCGTGGGGGGGGAAGGTTTCATTCCCCCACCATCCAAAGGGCTTTTTAATTAGCAAAATAACCCAGCTTATTCCACGGGTATCATTGCAGAAAAAAAAGAAAAATACATTCCAATAGATCTGGTGTGTTCACAAAAGCTAAGACAAAAGCTAAAAAAAGTTGTATGTCGAGAACTTAAAGAGGGCAGCACTCCCTCTGGTCTTGCCCAGCTGAAGAAAGCTTGATTTTCTCCCACTAAATGTGGAATTGCCATTCCACATCCTATGGGGGATTCGCCAAGCAATCTCTCTAAGCCCCTACAGAGCTTAGATTAGGCCCCCACGGCCCACGACCGGGCATTTACCAGCGTGATAACGGAGGTTCGTTAATCACGTCTGTATCGTTCCGACACCATACTTCTTCTCCGTGGTGGCTCCATTTCTGTGGAACCCCCTGCCTCTGGAGGGCAGGCAGGCACCAACATTGTGCTGCTTTTGGTGTCTTCTGAAAACACTTTCATTTCACTAAATGATTCAGCCTGTTCCAACCAGCCGTGGTTTTACTGATATAGCTTTACTGATCTTGCTTTCAGTACATTGTTTTATTGGGTTCTCTTTTATGGTTCATTGCTCTGAAGTCTCTACTCTAGAACATGGAATGGTAAGTACATCTTGCAAATAGATAACAGATACAAATTTAAAAGACATGCAAAATTACAGCATGGAATATTTATTCTAGAGCATGAAAACAGGTTATGATATGGTTGCATTTTATATAAACTGTCTTGACATTTTATAATTGGACAGTGTATAAGAAAACTTAAATAAATATCCAATAAATAAATAAATGACAGAGGTAACTAAAAAATCCATGTACATCTGGTCCCAAATCAGCATTATCTTAAAGAATTGTTTTTGCCTTGGAATTCTTGTTGAAAACCATTTTCTTTTGCAAATTGATGCATCATTTTTTTTCCTTTCTCCTTTATAAAGGTTGCAATCCTTAGTAAAAATTCCAGGAGTTATCACTACATGCTGGCCAACCTGGTAAGACCTTACGTTTGTTTGCTTGGATGTATGGATGTATGTATCAAAGAAATTCAGTACGAGTGATACACACACACACACACACACACACATTTAGGTCATGTCATTCTCAATTAGTCCAAGCAAAAATGCTTGAAGGACAGATGCTAGAAATGAATGAACTGTTGAACTAGTTCTGTATGCCCAGAGAATTGGGAGTGGGCTAGATTCAATTTATCTTTCTACTTCCCATGTAAGGTACCTTTATAGGATTTCCTTCAATTCATTTCCTGATTTCCTTCCAAGATTCAAATAACAGAATAACAGAAGGATAAGAAAACAATCAGAAAATCAGTAGTATATTTGAATGTTGGCTCCAAATATCCTATTTCTTGATTCTGTTTAGTGGCTGTGGAACTGCCATTTCCCCCCGAATGTTCATCACATGTCATGGAGAATGTCATGGAAAAATGCAGTTCCAGAGGACTCTAGGAAACCAGCTGTTGGGAGGGAATTCTGATGAGTTTCCTTCCCTCACTGTTGAAATTCAGCCCACCTCTCTTTATCTCCTTTGAACAATCATATTCCCATATGATTGCCAGTCAATAAAAGTCAAGAGAGATATGAAAAGGAGCACCCACCAGCACAACAGGGATCAGTCTTCAGTGATGCAGCAAGCTAAATATAGCCCACCTTTACATAAGCTGGTACCCTCCACATTTTTGGGGCTCCAGCTCCCAGCATTTCTGGTCAATGGGCATGCCGGCTGGGCATGGCAGGAGCTGGATACTAAAACAACACCAGAAGACACCAAATAGGAGAGGTTGGAATAGTCCAAAGGCATCCTGAGGAGCCAGCTTTTGACAAAATAAACCCAAAGATGGGTCCTGGCAGGTTTTCACAGAGGGGCCTTTCCACAGTGTAAGGGCAAAAGCTGAAAATGCCAGGTGATCACAGCTCTCACACCTCTTGACTGCCAGAGTTGATCCTTGGATGGGATGTAAGAGAGAAGGTCCTTAAGTGCCTTCTGATAGTTGGAACTCTAAAAAAAAGAAGCCCTTGAAATGGGGGCAACAAGCCAGTAGGTAGTCAGAGTAGGTTGGAAACATAAGATATTCTAGTAACATAACATTTTCAAGTGTTTTAACCAGGGTTACGAAACCCTGGTTCTAGGGACCAAATCCAATTTGTCCTTACCCACTTGCTTTCCGCTCTCCATTTTCTGGCTTCCTGTCTTTTGAACAGGTTTTCTACCCCTTCTAAAGGTGAAAATGCATCTCTCCTAAGGCTTAGCTGGTGGCAATAAGAGTTTTAAGCAGAATTATGTTGATGTTTGGGGTGTTTTTGACCTAGCCCTCTGTCTAGTCACTGCTACCTGCTTAGTCTGGCCTGCCCACTTTCCGAGAGCATTCCTGGAATGGAATTTGTTCCTCAGGCTAAAAGAGGATCAACACCCCTGACTGAAGAAGTATTTCAAAAGCTTCCACTGTGCTTAGGGCTACCTAAAGTAGCTGTCTGGATCCTGACCAAATATATATTTTATATTCACTGAAGAGTACCCCCTTGGTTTTATCTGAAGGCACTTTCATGCCCAAACACTTTAAACCTAATGCATCACTTGGATTTCCTCTCAAATTATACAGTTAATAATCCAAATCTCTTTTTAATCATACAAACTCATGTTGGAAGGTAGGACATTATGCTTAGTTATTTTATGGTTGTTACGAAGAGTCTAAGTTAATCCATAATTCTATCCAGTCAAGTTTCCATACTGCTTAACAATGCATTTGACCAATTCCAGAAGCACATCTACAGCTTTTTGTGCAGGGAACAGAGAAAAAAACCTTGTCTAATATTTAGTAATTCACAGAATGCCCTAGGTCTATCTATTTTTAAAATACACTTTATGATAGGTTTTTCCAAGTGTTTCTTATTACAGTGTTACTTTTTAAAATCTCCTCTCCACTTGCTTTAAAAGACACTGCATTGCATTTGATCCTGCTATAATTGCACACTTTTAGAATCTGAATTCCTTTTACGAGTAGACGGCTCCTTCTTAAGTCCCATGAGTTTTGCCATGTGTCCTTTCTTTGCAAGTTCCCAGGCAATAAGGATTAATTTTAAAACATCATCCTGCTGCAGAAGGACTGATCAGGTCTCTGTGCACAATAGACTGCATTCTCTTTCCCTGACAGTGGTGCATTGGGTGCATTCAAATGTACAGAATATGTATAGAAAAATGCATGATATGGAGAAAGTGAAGAGGGAGGCATCTTTCTTCTTCTCCCATAATACTAGGAACCCAGTTGGCTCATCCAGTGAAGCTGATCAGTGGGAGGTCTGGGCCAGATCAGCGGAAGGACTTCACGTCGGGCATAGTTCAGCTATGAAATTCCCTCCCACAGGAGAGTGACTGGACAGCCACCAGTCTGGAGGGACTTCAGAAGGGACTGGAGAAATTCATGCAGGAAAAGGCCATCCATGGCTAGGAGTCCTCATGCATTCTACTCCACTGTCTCCAGTTCCCATAACCCTCTGCACGTGCACGGCAGCTGCTGGGGAATATCCTTACTTTGGACTCAGGGTCTGTTCATATACCAAGCAGATCAATGTGGTGGAAGATTTTCCTGTGTAGGATTGATGTAATGTTTGTCTCTCTGATGGAAAGAAGCACCAAGGCACCCTCTCTATTGCCTTCCCAGGGATTTACAGACATTTCAGTGGAAAGAGTGGTCCAAGGAGGTGCCAATGTAACTGGATTTCAGATTATTAATAATGAAAACCCCATGGTCCAGCAATTTATGCAGCGCTGGGTAAGACTGGATGAAAGGGAATTCCCAGAAGCAAAAAATTCTCCATTAAAGGTAAGTTGTGAAACAGTGTCCAGATGGGTAAGAAGTGAGCCTGTGTTTCCCGAGTACTTTCCATTCCCAGGCTGACTAGGGTTCTCGCCCATTGGAATAGCCTGTGCTTTTCATGGCATGTGAGCTAGACTGTCACTTACGTAGTTGGTTGGTGCAGCTTCTTGTATTGGTTGTGGTTCCTTTTTTAATTTGTTTATTTTTATGCCATCTTTTGATTTCAGTTACATTTTAAATCCAGATTTTATTATTAGCTGCTTTGAGTACCATTTTTTGGCAGAAAGGTGGGATACAAATTTAATTACTTACTTAAGTAATGGCATTGATAAGAGCTGCAAGATGTTCTTTATGACACTTTAGGTGCATTTTTAAAAAATTAAAAATGGCTTTTGTAATCAAGAAGTGGTCCTCTAGCTTTTAAAATATTCCTAATGTTATATGCTATGTTATGTTACATATGTTCAGGGAATTGTACTAATATGTGCACACAAGTGCCTCTAATTTGTATAATATGTGTATTATATTAAATAGGCAAGACCATTCCCTTTATTATTTTTTAAATCCCCTGATCAATTTTTTTTGATCAGGAAGTAAAATTGGCTAGGGCTTAAAACCATGATACTTTAATTTGTCCATATTTTTTCAACTCTTTCCTCCCTTGCTGGCTTTTCTTTGCATGCTTATGAATTTGTTAGTCAAATATGGATAAAACAGAAAATTAGATTTGTCTCTTGGCATGATTTGGAAGGGACTGCAATAAGGCTTCTGATAGTTATTGTAACCTGAGTAAAAAAGAAGAGAAAAGCAAATTCACACTTGTAGGCTCTGTTTGGACCAGCTATTACAAAATCCTCTTCTTGTCCTTGTGAGAACAACAGTTGACAGAAATAGGATCTTATTCTCTGGCACATGACAGAATATTCTGATGCTAATTTTTCACATTTAAAATAGAGCAAGAATTCCCCTTCTGAAAGGCAGAAGTAGGATGATAAACATGAAAGAGGAACCAAAGTAATCATGCTGGCAATACATAAAATACCTCTGTCTGTTGTAGTTCCTTTATTAGGCCAACAAAAAAATCATTTAAAATGTGCCTGAATGGGGATTCTCTAGATTGGTGATGGAGCATGTTAGTGCAGCATTGCAAAAAGCAGGGTGAGAGAAGGAAATAGCAGGAGAAACTCTAAATTGTGACTTCCTGCTCAGCATCCCAAGATGGAAGAAGTGGTGGGCACACAGTTATGAGCCTCAGCTTATCTGAGGGTTGCTGCTCAGACCTGCAGCTTCCCCTCATTCTGCTGGAAGCAAAAAAGAGAGGGGAAGGGGCCCTTCCTTCCTTCCTTCCTTCCTTCCTTCCTTCCTTCCTTCCTTCCTTCCTTCCCAGAATTAATGTACTGCTCTATATCTAATACCGTTGTAAGCAATCAACAGTCCAAAAAAGAAAAAAGCATCAAAATCAATGGGCACAGGTGACAGAGTGTGCGTAATACAGTACTCTAAATAAGCAAGCAAAATGACCACCAGCAGAGCATTCTGTTTATACATTTTTACAGGAAAAAAGCAGAGAATTTAAAATCAAATTATGCCGATAAAGCCACAGGTGGTCACCCAGGGAAGGCTTGCTTAAAGAAAACATGCTGAAAACAAAGCCACTGTGGTGATATCAACAAGCAGGGAGTTCTACAGAGAAGGAATCAGCAGACTGAAAACTCCAGTCTCAGGGGACTCCAAAGCAACAGAGGAGCTATGCAGAGCCTCCAGGTGACCCTCCTCGGATGACCTCACTGGCTGGGCAGGCTGGTCCAGGAGAAGGTGCTTTCTCAAATAGGAGACTGCCCATTCTCAAAAATATAAAACTCAGCTAACATTGGAAGTGTTTTTCATCCTGGATGAAGCACATGGGGTCTTTTTGCCAGTGGACCAAAAGCAGAAGGCAATTCTCTTAGTTAAGGGGGACTCCTGCCAGATACTGTTGGGCTACTAACTATCCCAAGTGCTGGCAGAGCGGGCTGCAGGTTCATGTTCGGGAATCAGATTCTCCTGTCCTGCCCGCAGTTGTCACTTTCTGTTGGAAATGTTTGACAGTCGGGAAGGCAGTTGTCCTTAGGTGGAAACTGTAATTTATTAAGCTGGGGCAGCTACCACTGAGAGCAAGGACCCAACCTCTCTGTGCCTTGTCTCGGTTTCCGAAGTTGATTAAATTAAAATGCATGGTAAGCTGCGTTGTGAGAGTCCCCCACCCCATAAATGGCAGTCAGTGGAATGGAGCAGGTGGCAGGGAACTTCCCGATGCTCCGACCTTGCATGCCACGCTTTAGATGAGCAGATGTCAGCAAGACAAGAAGAGGAGCTGTCACCCCATTGCTGCTTGCAGAGGCTGTGATGTGATTTGGGCAGGGGGGCTGCACATTGCAGTAAAAGAGGGGGGAGTTGCAAAGAAGGGTGGGAAAGGGCCAGAGCTGCATGGAAATTGCACATGATGGGCGATGCAGCATGGAGGGAACGTTAGAAAGAAATGCTATCATTTGAATCGATGCAGAGGACATCCCGCTGTGGCAGGGAAAGAGTCTAGCCAGGTGAATAATGTTACCAGCTTGTTCAGTCTGCTGATGGCTGCCAAGGTGCCACCCCAGTGCAAGCTCTCACACCACCCGAGGCAGGAGAGAGCGCACGCCAACGCATGCCACCATGCCCCTTCTCATCACTGTGTGCTGGGCCCCCGCTTCTTGAATTCGCTGCAGCCACGGTCTGTCCTCTCTTGGCTTCATCATGCAGAGAACCACTTAGCCGGAAGACCTGTCTGCCAGGGTCTTGAGAGTATGCCCGTTCTCATAAGTTCCTCGCAGTTGCTTCTGCTAGTCCCTTACCTCTGTCTAAAACAAGTCAGAGAGAACCTGTGACTGCTCTGGAGTTTCTGACTGGCAGATCTCTCACTACAGAAAATGCTGCAACAGGAGAGAGGCTGGCATGAGAGGTTGTTTAATAAATAGGCAACATATGAGGGGCAGGTTGCTGCCCATGAAAAAGAAATTTATTCAGAAAATCTCTGGCTGTAAAGAGGGTTCTGCCTCAAGTTCCAAACTAAATGGAATTCATTCTCACCCACCTGCCTTTGCCATTTAGAACTCTGGCCCTTTTTATGAATAAGAAGGTTTATCAGATTTATAACCTCAATAAGGCTGTAATTTTGAATCATACAAGAAAGCAGTGAAACAGTTTCGTTGTGCTTTCCTATGAAAAAAATAAGCAAACAGATTTATAGCTGGTGATGTACATATCTCAGGAAACAGGAAATAAGATCTGGGAAGATGTAATTCATGGTTGCTCTGTTTTTAATATCAGACGCTCTATGTTAGCTAGCTCATTCTTTAAGAAAGAAAAAGGAAAATGGAATAAAAATGAAAGGCATGTTATATGTTGCAATTGATTCATTGCAATGGATGTACTAAATGTGTCTGTCTGACTGATGATCTTAACTGGGGCTTATTTTGGGGGTGGGGCTTATATTAGGAGCATCCTGAAAAATCATGCTAGGACTTATTTTCCAGTTCAGCCTCATTTTCTGGGAAACAGGGTAGTTACTGGTGGGCTGGTATTTTTGACTCTAGCCCTTCTACTTTCAACTTCACCCACCACTGGAACATGAACCTTGGGAACTTCTCTGAAATAGAATCAGGCCCTCGATCTGAAAATGATTCAGCGCTCCTCTTCCATGCACCATCGTCAGGCCTTGCATTCACATGTGTAACTTTGCATGGGGAACAAGCTCATAGGATCACAGTGAAGATCCCACCAAGGCTATGCCCACCAGCGGATATGGACTCCAAGGGGTTCTTTGAAATGGAATTTGGACCGTTAGCTGAAAGAGGCCCTGCATCCCATTCTCAAAGAACAGGAAAAAAGGATGGTCTTCGAAAGGATGACAGAGAGGAAAACGCCGTGTGAGCTTACAGGGTGTGGATCAAGTATTCCAAAATTCCTGAATTAAAACAACTGCAAAAGCTTCACACCTCATTGAGAGCAATGTAAAACATTCTGACTCTGGTGGCGCTACAGTTCTGTGTACACATGTGGCACTTGGTTATTGTCCTTGTTGTTAAGATGTGGCTTGATGGTGAGCTTTTCCATTTCTCACATAGGATGTCTCCAAGAAGTCACCTTGAACATTGCTTGTTCTGGAAAGGTGGTCTGTACATTTGCATGTAAAGGAAGGAAAATGTGAACTCTCTTCCCCTCCTGGAAAAACTTACATTTGGGGTGGGTTGGTTCCAGGCTCTTAGCCCCAAAGTGGTTCCCAGAATGCGGTTTGACAAAGTGTCCCCTTTGCATTGCGTTTCCTCTAGTATACCTCTGCACTGACCCATGATGCCATATTGGTAATCGCAGAAGCATTCCGGTATCTCCGAAGGCAGCGTGTCGATGTGTCCCGGAGAGGTAGTGCTGGAGACTGTTTAGCAAACCCGGCCGTGCCTTGGAGCCAAGGAATCGATATAGAGAGGGCACTGAAAATGGTAAGGACAACAGAGGGAAAGAAGACCCAACCGTTCATGTCCGAGAGTATCTTTGGGAATTTTTTCTGTCCATCTGTGCCATATAATGCAGCAAGGGGTGCCTTGAGTGTACATAATATCTTATTTTATTCCAGACCTGTTGGGCTACACCCCCATAAATCATGCTTCTCCCATGAATAGCTGTCAGCAATGCTGGCTGGCTGGGGCTGATAGAAATTGTGCTCCAATACGTCTGAAGGTTAGCTGGGTTAGCAAAGGCTGTCTTACCAGGTCGTAACTCTGGAGTGGGCAATGCACGGCATGAGCCCCTGTTGACCACATGTATTTTAAAAATGTGCAGGAAATTTATTTATTTTTTCCACTTCTACACCACCCTATAACCCAAAGGTTCTCTGGGTGGCTTATGAATGAAACAAATTAGGAAAGCTTCAGAAAACCGTGGTGGTGGCATAGAAAGCTTTTTTTTCCAGCTAAAATTGCCTGTTCTAGCTCCCCCCCCCCCCCCCCCCCCAATAGCCATGTTGGCTTAGAATGGACTACTTTTTGTTGTAGTGGTGATGTGGCCCACAGAGGAGGTAACCTGGCCCTCAAACTGCCCATTGTTGCCCAGCCTATCCTAAATTCGACCTGTGCTGGGCATAATTTTCTTGGAGCACAGGCTCTACCCTGCCCTTTGCTGCAATGTGTTCATGGAAATCATGCTGTCGGTCTGTGAGTGTGATGCTTTGCATGGTCTGATGGGACAAGCTTCAGCCTCCTGCCTGGAACCCTGAGCAGCAGCTGCCAGGGGGCATTGCCTGGGGACCTCCCTGGGCTGCCCTCCAAGGTATTCTCCTCCCAGTCTTTTTGAATCAGCTTGCATAGTTGCAACACGGCATGTCTGGTCTTACTCTGCCCACCATTTGCTTTCCCCAAGGTGGATCAGGGGCCCATACGGGCCCAGAAGGAATGCAAATTGTGGGTAGCTGAAGTCCTCACCTTTTTCTCTGCAGCAAGATTAACCACCTGCTAAAAATTTTCTCTGCCCCCACTTCCCTCACACACAAGGGCTTCTGCCATTACCTGTTTGGTAAGTTTGGACAACCCAGTTGGGACTGGGGAGAAACGGTGTAAACCATGGGACGATCAGGCAGACTTGTAGAGAAATCTGTGGATAACTGGAAGGACTGGAAAGGTGGAAGAGAATGTGTCTGGTGGGAAAGGCCTAGGGGTTCCAAGGGAAGGGTGGCAGGCAGCCCATTCGGAGGTCTAGGAGTGAGAAGTCTGGGGGTGGCGCATGAACGTCTAGCACGGATTGTGTATGTCCCACATCAGTGTGTTATGATTTATCACTGTTAAGGTTCAAGTGCAAGGAATGACGGGAAATATCCAGTTTGACACCTATGGACGTAGAACTAATTATACCATTGATGTGTACGAAATGAGAACCGGTGGGCCGCGCAAGGTAAGCAATGACCAGAGGGAACTGCATGTCGTTTCCCTTCGCTTCGAAGGTAATGTTCAGCAAACAGGGTCGGCATCAAGGGTAGTTTAAGGCTGGGCACCCACTGAGGTTCCTCAGCACAGCAAGAGCTCCTCCTCTTCACTGTTGCGAACCGCTTGCTCTCTTGCGGCTTGTTTCGGCTCGGACGATGGTGGTGGTGAGCAGGAGAAGGAGATGTTGCAACCTGCTCGCCCACTGACTCTCTTCTTGCCAAGCAAGCGAATGGTAGCAGTGATGAAGAAGCAGAGGTGGAACAAAAGCAGCTGGTGATCATGGTAGCGAGAAGTTTGAATCCCTGAAGATGACAGCCCATTGTGGGTTTCTTGGCCAGGAATCTTTGAAAACCTTGAGCTGGCACTGCAAGAAAAGATCCAGTATCTGACAGCAAACGCATCAATGAGGCCAAGCGGTTGCAGCAACCAGCAGGACAAGATGCAAACTAATGCAATCTCCTTCGTGTTGTTTGCTTTGGTTTTTTATTGGAGCACCCAAATTCATTATACGCAGATAGATACAAGATCATGGTTCTGGGGTGGGAGATAATACGTTTGGGCACAGAATTAAGAAAGGTCTCTCTGAGCTCATGCTTAGCCCAGATTATTACTTTTCATGCCATGCAAGAAGTGAGCTCACAGGTCTTTCAAACAAGGATACACTCTTGGTTTTCCCACACGGAGTCTCTATTCCAGCTGCCGACTGTATCACTATTTCTAAGCAAGCATGAGAAATAAGCCCTTGCCTTTAAATTGCCCTGCATTCTACTGTAAGAGATGCATCTGCATTCTGCATGTCCTTTGTACAGGGGGTAGGATTTTGACCAGGGGGCCATAGAGTTAATTGGGTTGATTGTGCAAGAAGCATAATTAAAAAATAAATAAAAATAAAGAACTTTTGTCATTTTGGATGGGTTTAATCAGTTGATTTATTATTATCCCCAAAGTCACCCAGTAGCTAGGATGAATGTTTACTGAAGTGTTCACATGGTACACAATGCATTAATTTGGGAAGTTCTCTGTTCCATTATAGGCTGGCTACTGGAATGAATACGAAAGATTTGTGCCTGCAGTAGACCCCACCATCTCCAATGACACTTCCTCTGTGGAAAACAGGACCATTGTGGTCACCACCATCCTCGTAAGTTCTGTGAAAGCCAGTTTGTAATTAGCTGATTGGTCTCATGGGATCACTCTCCCAGCAAGTTCCTCTTCTTATTTCCAAACTAAATCAAAAAGGGATCTACACGCTTGAGGCTTTTCTTGTGTGGAAGATACCCAAATAGTCATTAACTGAGTCGTGGGTCAACAGTATATTTGCTCCTCTTCATAGGAAAATGGGTGCTGTTTGGGTGGCAGGGTGGGGGTCTTCCTGATGAAATGTCACAGCTCCCCATAGCATGTTCCATTACTCTCCCACCACCTTCAGCTTTCTGATCCTTCTTCTTCTGCCAGCGCCACTGAAGCAGTTCAGTAAAGGTGGACATCTGCAGACCCACCTGAAGACTTCCAGGACTTTTTACTTACTTATTTATTGATTGATTTAAAGGAAGGTGCCATTGATGGTTTTTGTGGCTGTTTTTTCCACCCCCGTCATTTCACAGGAGGCGCCCTACGTGATGCGCAAACAGTCGCCTGACCAAAAGGAAGGGAACGAGAAATATGAAGGCTACTGCGTTGATCTAGCTTATGAAATCGCAAAACATGTTGGGATAAAATATGTCCTGTCCATTGTTCCTGATGGGAAATATGGAGCAAGGGATCCTGACACTAAAATGTGGAATGGCATGGTGGGTGAGCTGGTCTATGGGGTAAGTTGCCCTGAAGCTTTCGTGTGCTTGTGGTTTTGTTCACCATGTAAGAATGTGCATACAAGCAAAACGTGAATTAGTCAGAGCTCTCCAGATTCTACCTTGAAGCTTTTTCAGTGTTGTGTGCATATCAGATTGAAGTCTGTGGTTGTTTTTGTTCTGTTCTGTTTTCACTTGAAAATTCTTGTGTGTTTTCATGCATGTTTTTCTAAATGTGTGCAGCAGTTGAGCACATCTTTGAAAACCACACTATGAAGTCATTCATGCACGTTTTTAAATGGATGTTTGAACACACATTGGGGGCTCAGCGTATCTTATTGCAGGATCAGAAATGCAAGCTCAGTCACAGAGTTCTTTGAGCCTGTGTTCAGACCAGAAGATGTGAACGGGTAATCCTGATCAAAACTGAATTGAAGTGGATAGACTGCCATGAAGTAAAGCAACATTTGCTCTAACCTGTTTGCATTGGCAGAGTTCCATAGGTGTGCATGCAGGCACACAACAAAATCCTATGAGATTTATTAGGGTGAATATCCACAACCTGGCAATGAAGATTCATCCTCCTTCTCTGGTCTGTCACCTGTCAGTCATTCTCAGCATTCAGCTGCCTGATTCCAAGATCAAGCATGCACCAGAATTGTTTTTATGACAGCCATCCACCTCAACAAGGAGATGTGGAGGCAGGCTTGGCTGACAAATGTGAAACCGTTTGGTTATCATGGCAAATCTGTATTTGTTCTGTCTCCATTAAACTGTCATGGCTGCCCCCAAGTTGTTCTGGGAAGTACAGTGAGAATTCTCTGCTAGAGAGAGCAGTCCATATGTCATGAGCTAGAGGTCCTCCTTTCACACATCCAAAGCCACAGACTTTTCTTGCAAAATGCTCTTTAGTGACCTCAGCGTTTTCCAAACACACAAACACCCACCATGCACAGAGTGGTTTCTTGAACCCAATCTAGTATTCACCTGCAGGAATTCTCCTTATGAGCATACCTGGGCCTCATCCCTTCAGGAGGGGCCTTCTGAAAGTGAGCACACCTTTTCTCTGCATGCCAATCCCCTATTTGGGCTGCCCTCCTCTGACAGTGCATCATGGGGTCAAGAGCCATGCCCACTACGTCTGTCTCTGAGAAAGTCCCCTGTTCCAAGTCCTTTTCTGCTGTACATCTTGGTTATTCCCAGAGGCTGCCTGCCCACCTGGGGAGTCTGGCCTTGAGATAAGCATCTCTTCTTCTCTCATCTCAATGTCTGGGGATGGTCCATGTTCCATGGCCCCCTCCTGGACCTCTTCTTCCTCCTCCAACTCCAGCAGCCCTTGAGAATGTGCACTCAAAGCAGCCCTCTTTCTCACTCCCAGCTCCACAGCCCCATGATAATCAAATGTCAGTATCCTTGATAAGAAGGTATGACAGTTAACCCAAGAAAAATCTACAATGCAGATCTACCCTTAGCATCTTTAAAAGGCTCCCAGGTAGAAGAACAGGTGCTTGTCCTGTTAAGCTAATGGAAAAACAAGAAGTTGTGCTTTCACATTATGGGGAGGTGGGCTTAGGTTAAAAAAGGGGAAAAGCCCCCAGAGCATAAAAGCTTGAGCAATTAGAGCCATGGAGTAGAAGCCAAGGCCTCCTTGTTCTCTTCTAGCTCTTGGTTGACTTGCTGCATGATATTTGACCTCAAAGAGCTTGACATTTACCCACTGCTAAATGCAGAGGAGCAGTGCAAGCTTGCTCTCACCCAGCGAGGATTTGCAAAGCACCTGGAGTCACCCAGATGAAAATGTTCTCACTCAGTGTAAATGGCTCTTCCTTTCCACTCAGATCATAGCCACCCGCATGTCTGTGGCAATCAGGAAGCCTCTTCCCCATTAGCCATCCTTTGATCATCCCAGGTGCCAGGAAGAGGCCTGGAGCATGAATAAATCCACTGGATCCACAGCCTGATCATCTGTCCATTTGCTCAGCCCCAGTGTGCATTGCAGATGTGCAACACAGCAACATACACGCCATTGTGTTCACAGGAAATTGCACCTGGGCAGCATTTGTAGGATCAAGGGTTCAGGCCTTGGCATGTGCAGAGCAGCTAGAACCAGGGGTCAGACTAGATGGCCTGGGAGACCCCTTCTGACTCGCTCTGTTTCTATGTTTATTCAGAAGTATATCTGACTTTGTTCAGTTGGGCATGACCCTGAATACATGAGCATAGGATTGTAGCCAGTGGGCTAAACTGAATGCTGGATAAACATGCAGCACGCAGAGGATCCTCATGCTCTTTGTTCTCTTGGAGTAAGCACAAAAGTCCCCAGTCTGGATTGAGGCCAGCAGCACGAGAGAGAAAGTTTGTTTGTTTGTTTGTTTATATGCCCCCTCTTTTCCTTTCAAGGAACTCAGGGCGGCATACATATATCTCCCTCTCAATCTCATCCTCACAACAGGAACCCTGTGACATAGGTTGGGCTTAGGATTTTAGGCTGGCCCAAAGTCACCCAGTCAGCTCTGGGGCTGAGTGGGGGCAAGGACCCAGATCCCCCGAGTCCCAGTCCCACACTCTTAACCATAGCAGCACATTGTCTCTTCCCCACCCAGCTGCTTCCCCGCTAAATCACACACGCAAGCTGAAAAGAGGGAAACCGCCATTGGTGCTACCTGAATACTTCCCCGCCTCCACTTTAGCCCCTGCCTAGAGGCAATTTTAGGGGGAAGTGGCTGAGTGGAAGATTGAAACCCCCCCTTCCCATAGGCGCTGGCCCCAGTCTAGAAATAGGAGCCCTGCACGTGCTTGAAAATAAAAAAATTGGGATGGTGTGCAGTGCACGTGCTTAATGCAATTAAAGAATTAATGTAATTTAGCCCTAAATTCTTGGGCAGGTAATATCCAGTCTTATTGCAAACTAATTGCTAATAGTCTCTGTGCTGAGGGTCGTACCTGGGGTATCTTTGAATACATTGTCCTATCATGGCGCACGCTCTGGAAGGGAGCCATCACAGTTGCAGATTATGCAGCATTTGGTAAAATCAAAAGACGGTTCTAGGCACAGGTTCATATCCCACTTCTGACGCCACGTCCTTTATCTGGCCTCATGCCAGCTTGCCTTCGTCATGGCACAGCATCTCTTCAGCCCTCCTCTGCAGCCGTGTTTCTATTGCCCCCTGATGTCCAGCGCACCCACCTGGGCCACCCTTGGTGGAATGCAGCATCTGCACCTGGTGATGGGTGTCTGGTGGTCCTCCAGTGATTTTGGCCTGCAGTTCCCATCAGCCCCGTGGGAGTTCTAGGTCAAAGTTCAGGACGGCTGTGAGCTGTCCACTCCCAGCCCACACAAGACCTGCATTCTGCTGTTTAGTCAAGTTCTCCTAACCCCCTCGCCCTCCTTGTGGACCACCCTGGCAATTTTCCCTCAGCTTGTACCCCTGCAGCAGAGGCATCAGAATCAGAAAGCACTTGCGGCGGAACAAAACCGCTGCGTTGTGTGCCAGCCCTTCCTGGTGTTGTTTGGCTCCATTCAGAACACCCTCCTGTGTACTTCGGGGAGTAGAACAATTCCAAAGGCAGCTGTTCGGTTGTGTTGCACAGAGCCCCAGGTGTGTTACCAGAACATGATTGTACTTCTCAGCCTCTCTCCACTGGGAGGAAAGAACCTCTGGGCATGAGGCAGGCAGTGATGCTGCTCGTGTTTGCTTGGAGTGGGCAGGGAGGTGGAGCGGGAGGGTTTTGCAGTGCCTTTTGAATGAGAAAAGAGGGAAAGAAACCTCAGAATGCTTGTCCTTTCAGCGTCATTTCACAAAAGACAAGGAGCCCTGCATGAGGCACTCGACACACCTGGCAATGCACCAGAGACTGGGATGAGTCTACTGTTGCTTGGAGCAAAAACAGGAAGGCAGGAAAGGGTCTGATCCATCCTTGGCTTGCCACTTTTCTATTGTCTGCTATGTTTCCCCAGGGCTTCAGTTACAGAAAGACCAATCCCTGACTTCTTCCCACAGCTTCTGAAGGAATTGTTTTTAGCAGGCTGCAAGGGAGCCAAAATTGGCCATGAGTGTCTAAAATCGGGGTCCTGTGAATTTCCTTGGATTTTTTCTCCAGTAATTCAAGTGCTGCTTTTTTCCCAGCTAAGCATCTGGAAGCCTCCCCCCACCCCACATGTTGCAGAGAGGGTGGGGGGACTAGGCAGGAGCTTTCAGGAGAAAATCAATGGGTGAGATGATGGCTAAGCACCCTGAGCTACTGAAAATTGCACCCTCTTCACCCCTGCAGTGTTTTGCTGGGACCCAAGTCCTGCTGCCAATGTCTCACTGGTGTGTAAAGTCCTTGGTTGCCTCTACTCCACTGCCCTTGGCATTTTGATCACCCGGAGTCAAGAGCATTTGCTGAAACAGATTTGCCTTGACAAGCATAAAAGGACAGGGAGTGCTAATAAACATTAGGGAACCCACGAAAACCTTTGCAAGTGAGAGAGGTTGCACCTTTAACTTTGATATAAATTATGCAAATAGGCACTGCAAATTTGCTTATTCTGCATACTGATTCTCTTATTCCTTGGCCTTCAGTGCAAAGGGTGGATTTGCATTGAACCTTATCTTTGATTGCTAGCAATCTTATTCAGCCATCCTCTGAGATTAAAGCTCAATCATTTTAAGTCTTCCCTTGCATCCAAAAGGACTAGAAACTTTGCTTTCCTGGCTTATGAGTGGTGAGCAATATGAAGTTAAAACACATAAAAAGAATGAAAACAATACATTGAAAATATTTTAAAATGAAATAATATTGAGACCATGACTGATCAGCAAGAAAAGTCTTTCTGGAGTGAAATTAGAGTTGTCAAAAGTTAATTCTGCTTCCTATGCCAGGTTCTTCACAACATCATGAAATACAACCACTCATATGGTATTTCATGCCCAGCAGCAGGCAGGAGGGAGACATATGGCCATAGATCAGAAGTTGGGAGGAGAGGAACATGCCTTAAATACAGAATGCCCACAGGGCATTTTGAAGATGCAAAGTTCTACAAAACAGCTCATTCTGACACACGTACCCTTTCATTTACTTTGCTTTCTGTCCAGAGCTTTGAAGTCTCTTACAGAAATCAAAGACAAAGGCTGATCCATTTCTCCCAGTGCCCCATGCCTGCCTTGTCTAGGAAAAATGTTCTTGCCCTTCTATGCATGGTAATCTTTTTGCGTACCTTCTTGGAGAAGTCTGATCTGAAAGAAACCAGGCTTCTTGTGAAACGGTTCTCCCAAGAATGCCCAGCTGCCTGGCTGCATTGTTCACAGCCTCAGCTTCTGCTTGCCAGTTCTGTGCTTAACTGTCCCAGCAGACGAGTCATTTCTGACAAGGCTGGGCAGACTGTACAGCCAATGTATATGCACACTGAGTCCTTTTGAGGTGCTACCTGAGCAGTGTGAGAACAGCAGTGGCATCCTTCCAAGCAAAGACACTGGAAAGGTGAGGGTGTATCCTGGGAGATTTACCTATTGAACTAACTGAAGCCACTCATCTTTCCTTACTGATAAAAGAAATGTGAGATAATGCTTAGCTGACCAGTTATACCCCAACTTAAGGACATCAGGGCAGCCTTGCTGGATCAGACTGTAATAAGGAACTATCAGTAGAAATGCAGTGCATCTTGATGGGGTGGGCAATTTCATCCGATTCGGGAGACACACGCACCGTGCATCCTGAAGTTTAGCTGTTTAGAAAATGCAGACAGGAAGGGCTGAAACCTGGCAATCAAGTCATCCCGTGGCTAAACGTGGCATGAAAACCATCCTTAGCCCTACTTCTGAGGGAGCCCCTGCTAAGAGGGGCTCTTCTGTTGAGGCACCCCAGCTGTGGAATGCACTGCCCAGGGAGCTCACCTGGCACCTACCTGGCTCCCTTTCCAATGACAAGGGGAGGCCTTATTTTCTCAGGAAGTTGAGTTTCTGTCTTATCCAAACCCTATATCGTGTTTTGATTCTTTGCACTGCTGCTAGGTCTGACTCTAGTCTTTATCCTATTTCATACTGTAGTTCTAACCATTTTGAATTTTATTTGATGTTTTCAATTGTTGTGTACTATCCACAGAGCTTAAGCTGTTGGGTTGTATTAAAATGTAATAAATACATAAATGTGAGTTTTCGGGCACACAGGCAAACTAAAATTGATCTTTTTGATGCTCTGCCTACTTTTCTTCATTTATGATTATCATTACTTGCTCATTTGGTATGAGGCATTGGAGGGGTTCCCATGTGGACTGTGGGCCACCCAGGACTTAGCCCCGCTGTAGTGGGCAAAGCTGCAACTGTGTCTCTGCTTAGGCGGTTGTCTGGATGCCTTCTTCTTGTGGATGCCTCCGAGGTTGCTGCTGTTCTTTCTTCTTCCAGTCTTTATCTTTAAGCCAGACTTGGACTGGAGAGCTCTTTGAACAGAAGACATCCTTTTCAAGCCGAAGACTTATTTCTGACTACCCTGTACAAACGGGAAGTAGGCAGACAGACACTCTCTAGACATCAACTCCCAGCCCTCCCAACCACTGGCCATGCAGGCAGGGGCTTCTGGGAACTGAAGTCACAACCCACTGGAATGCCACCTTCTCCCTAACCATGAACTAGGACTGTCCTCTGTACAATAGGACACGTGTGCACCCTATGCCTGTCTTTCCTGGCTTCACAAGTTGCTGTAGGTCAGGCTGGACAGTGGAACTAGGTCCTGGACTGACAAAGAGGAGTGGTGCTAGGAAAGGATTTAAGGCTCGGGCCCACAGAGCAAAATAATGTGCAAATTTGCACATGCTAGCTTACATACGCTCTAAATTCTCTGTGTTTGTGTCTTTAAAGGACCATGTTGCCTTAGGACACCCCTATTGTAAAAGAAAGAAATGTACAGAAAGGGAGGTAAGAGTAGTTGATTTTAGTGAAAAAAACATAGGTGGGAAGTTTTGAGGGGGCAGCAGGAGGGGAGGCCCATGTGGGCTCAGTGGGGTCCAGATGAAACAAAGACCATCAGGGCCTCTGTACCTTTATTTCAGCAGAGAGGGTGGAGCAGAGGGTCTCTCAGACCCTTGAGGCTCCAAATGCAAGATTCAGGACGCTAGCCTTAGTTAGCCACCCCCTAAGCCCACCTCTGCCTGCAAATATATTTGTGCTCAAAAGAGAGAAAATAAGCTTTAGGTTAAATGGAATCTGGCCTGTTTTGAAAGGAAGCCACCCCACTTCTTGCCACAACATGCCCCACTTTGAGCACTACTGAGAGCATTTTTTTTTTAAAAAATGCAAGTGCTCTTCTCTGCAGGAAGACCCAGCAGCCTGACTGTGCTGCACAATAGACAGTCCCCTTGTTTCATAATCCCTTTCCATTTTGGGACGTATCCCTTTCCCTAATGAATTCACACCTTTGGAACGATCGCTTCAATATGAGATCTGTGTCAGTTGAATGCATAGCCTCATTTTTACCCTAATTTTCTCACTCTCCCCTTTGGGGTCCATTTGGTTCCAGTTTTTCCCCTGTGATTTTATTCCATCGTGGATCTTCATCCAAAATTGCAAATTAACACATAATAAGGCAACGTTACCTGAGTTAAAATATATTAAAATGGAATAGTATCCCAAAGCAAGAAATACCCTGTAAAAGAGCTGAGGAAAGGAACTGGGTTCAGTATTAGTCATGCACTGCATTCAGATAGCATGATAACCCACACTCAGTGGGTTATTAAACAAACAAACAAACATGGTGAACAATTCACAAGCCAACGTGGGCTCCTTTCATGGGTTGTTTGTGGTTAGTGCAGATATAATACAATAATCCACAGTTCTGTCACAACCCACATGCTTAGTCCTTGAATGTGGGCTCTTGTCTTGTCTGAACCCGGTCCCTGAATTTAGCTTCCTGACTGTTTTACAAAGAAGTCTCCAAATGTATTCTTGAAAAAATGTCTGTAGGCAATGAGTTGTAGAATCTTAGATGCTGGAGGAATAGTGGAATAAGATTGCCATGCTTGTCAGAATATGTGGGCAATAATGCTTATGTTCAGAGATTCATTGTAAGTATGGCTGGGTTAATGCAGGTGATATAAATTAAGGAATCCTGAGGTTTGTAGGTTAATGTAAGGACTACAGAGGGATCTGTGAAGGGATCTAAATTATCCTGAGGTATGCAAAGTAATGTAAGAAATTCTATGTCTCTCTCTGTTTGTGTGAAGTGGTTTGAACACATGAAATAGATTATGTCAGTGTTTTCCAAACTGTGTTCTGGGGGAATCCTGGGATTACTTTAAGGGCTTCATTGAGTGGGCAAGTTTCTCTGAGACAAAAATGAAGCCACTGATTCTGCACTGCCATCCTCTGCAACGGGCAGTCTTAGGTCAATTGGAGGGTAGCCTGGGGGACGCTCCATGTTTGTGCAGTGAAGCCCAAGAGGCCTTCATGGCATGCCACAGGAACAGAGTGTGCTACCAGAAGTAGGCACCAAGGCTTTTGCAACGAGCAGGGATGTTTCAGAAGATATGTAAGGGTTTGTCGAGACTTCCCTCCAAAAGGAGAAGGCACACGGAGCTGCAGAGGGCTGGGCCAGCAAGAGCAGCCCTTCCGTTTGTGCAGAAAATGTTCCCTGAAGGTACAAAGATGGAAAGCCACTTGTCTCAGACTGAAGATTTCCTGGGTAATATCCAATCGTGTCAAAAGATGAATGGCGTAAACCAGTGCTAGCACAACACTATTAGCACTCGCAAGCACATTGGATATTGCCACTCCTCTCAAGCCTTCATGTATATAAGGTTTTGTTTCTGAACTGAAATACCTGGGATGTCCTGCTGTAATTCCCTCTCTTGTCTGTAATCTTTCTCTTTGCAGAGAGCAGACATAGCTGTTGCCCCACTGACCATCACCTTGGTCCGAGAAGAAGTCATAGACTTTTCCAAGCCCTTTATGAGTCTGGGCATCTCCATCATGATCAAGAAGCCCCAGAAATCTAAACCGGGTGTCTTCTCCTTTTTGGATCCTTTGGCTTATGAGATTTGGATGTGTATAGTCTTTGCGTACATTGGCGTGAGCGTGGTTCTGTTCCTGGTCAGCCGATTCAGTCCCTATGAGTGGCATTTAGAAGACAACCAGGAAGAGCCACGGGACCCTCAGAATCCTCCTGATCCACCCAATGAGTTTGGAATATTTAACAGCCTTTGGTTTTCCCTGGGTGCCTTTATGCAGCAAGGATGCGATATTTCTCCAAGGTTGGTTTGTTTGCTTTTTCATATCACACTGTCATCACCTTTTTGCATTTTATGGTCATCGGGCTGCTGCCATGGTGCATATATGTTTCTTTCTCAAACAACCCTTCCCAATTTTCCAAATTTTATTTTGACATTCCATCTAATGCTAAGCTTCCACCATCAAGCCACAATTGCCTCCCACCATTCACCAGCTCAAAGCTAGGGTGGTCATTTATGAATTTGTCCCAAAAGAGGAAAGGCATCACCAAAAAGAAAAGAAGATGAAGAGGGCTGTCATTGCATATGCTAATTCATACATATAGATGTTGTCCAAGTGCTAACTATTGATTGGCAATAGTTCTTATGGCTATCATTAAATTGGAATTGGACTGGATAACTCTTCAAATAGAGGATGTCTTTAAATCTGGAATGGTCCTCTGGCAGCCCTCCCAACTAAGGAATCTCCTCTGTAAAAGAGGACACATGGCCACCCTTCAAATGCAGCTAACCCAGGACATTTTGATGCCATTCTTTCATGCATAGCTGCCACAGAACTTATATACACCATGTTGAGACTGTAAAATGCATCGGGTTTTTACATCTTTCAGCAATGCTTGGAGGGTTACCGTGTTTTTGCTGCATATCTCATTTTACGGTCATCTGCTTGGTGCATATAACACTTTAATTTCTGCTTTGCAAAATAAGAGCTGATTCTTTGCAAAGCCACATGCAACAGCACTTTAAACACCCATGTTCCTCACCATCGCTCATGCTGACCTTTTACGTTCTTCTCTATTCCTTCATATCTTTCACCTTTGTTTTCTTCCCATCTCCCTTCTTGAACTGTATCGTTACCTTGAATATGCTGCTTTTTCCTCTATACATGCCCTCTGAGAATTGTGGTACATTGTACAAAGTGTGTGTGATTCTGTGAAGTGGGTTCGCTTCAGTCTTCTGTGTTGATAAAGCAGATTAGTTAACTAGGAATGTTGCCATGGGAGGGCATCTAGCCACTTTGGATTGAGACGGGTTTCTACGTTAGTAGAAGCAAAAAGACTTTAATACGTGTGGTCTAATATATTGAAGTCCATATATTTCAGCATATGCTTTTAATTGTACAGGCTGTGGCCCTTCCTTGTGGGAGAAATCCTAATAGGGCATGTTTCTCCCACCTGATGCCTCCCAAAAATGTTGGACTACAACTGCCTTTATCTCCAGCCAGCATGACTGGAGAAGTGCGAGTCGTAGTTGAATACGTCCGAAGGTGCCAGCAGAAGGCTAGTGCTGAGTCTGCGTCCCCATGCAATTCTGGGGGGAATTTTATCACTTCTTGTAAACTTTCGGTAACTTTTGCAGAACTAGAGCTTTACCACATTCAGTCAGATAGAACTTTGGGAAGTCAAAAGCTTCTTCAGCCAAATTGCTACAATATGTTGATGAAATCTGTCAGAAGCAATAAATCTATACAGGTTTCTATCCATGTTGCAACATGAAAAAAAACATTGTGAATTTATTGTTTAACCAAAATAACAAGAGATGGCATAGGGGATTGCAACGGAGTATTTTAGCAAATGCACATACATTTACTTTAAGTGTGACCCTCTAATAAGTTCTTAGTATTAAAAATGCAATATTTAATTCTGTCTATCAGACTGTTTCAATAGGAAACAATTCCTTCATTTTGATGAAATGATATGCCATCATTTATTCCTGCCTAAGCACACTTCAGGCTCATATTTATGAAGCTGGGGACTTTCAAACAACCATACTTAGGATTAAGCACAGCTTAGAGTTCGGATGAAGTGCTACACTGCAGTCAACTGGGAAAGGAAGCACCTCATTCCTGGGTGGGCCAAGAAGAGCAAAGAAGCTCACAAGAATAAAGCTAATGCATGTAATTTAAACATAGTTTATTTTGTTATGTCCAAACCTGGCCATGATCTCTGAAACAGAAGCCATAGAACCAAACCAACCTCACTACGTCCTCACTGAATAGCATCCGGAAGAGTGCCAAGCTGGATTAGAGGCATGTCATCGCCCCCAGGTTGTTGCTTAGATCAGAAAGTGACTGTCATTGGAAGCTGCCTTCTATCAGGTCAAACTACTAGTTTATTCAGCAAATTTCATCCAGCTTGAGATCTTTCATTCCTTTTGTGCTTTCCTGCAAACTCCTAGCCAACATGGCTGGTGGAGCAATGCTGGGAATTGTGGGGCTTTTTCTTTTTCATTTTGAGTGTGCATATGATTGTGCTATTGGCTGTGGAGCAGTGGGAGGGGCTCATTTACATAATTTACCTAAGAATGAAACAAGAGCCCTGCTGGGTCAGACCAAGGTCCATGACAGTGGGCAGCCAGCGGCCCATAGGGACCCATAAGTAAGACAGGAGTGCAACACCCATAATGCCCAACAACTGGGGCACATGGGCTGACTGCTTCTGATCTGGAGGTGGAATATAGACATCAGGATGAGTAGCTATGGATCACTTTCTCCTCCATGAATTTGTCCAATCCTCCTTTAAAGCCATCCAAAGTAATGACCATCATCTCATGCGAGTGAACTCCATCCTTTAATTACACACTTTGTGAAGGATGCCCCCTTTTATCTGTCTTGATTGTCCCTTCAGTCATCTTCATGGGATGTCCTTGTGGTTGCAGTAGTAGGAGAGGGGGAGAAACTGCTCCCCTGTCCACCTGCCTGGTTCCCAGCACTGGATTCAGTTGCGGGGGTACATTTTAGGAGACCGGTGTGATCTTTGCAGCAACACAGATCAACATACATATTTAAAGGGTCGCAGTCAGATCTGCTTCACACAAACAAGTAGCCACGAGCCAGTCACATTTAGCATCCAATCACATGACGTGGTTGTCTGCCCCTGTGTAGCACTGCCAAACATCTTGAAACCTTCCTGTATTTGAGTAGCGTTTAGCCTCCTCCTTGTGTGTCTGGTACTTTGCAATGTAATCCTGAAATGACTTGTGCAATTCCACTGTTTTGCTTGCCATTAAGATAATGCATAGTGATAGCATTTAAATTGCTGTTGACCATGTGTTCAGCCATTAAAGGACCGGGAAAATAAGCATGGGACCATCACATGGAAAGCTGTGGGCATTATTTTTATTTTGTTTCTGCTAGGCTTTTTCTTCAGCTGAAATAGAATCTCGTAGGATTTTTGTTAGCCTCTTGAAATGCTCAACAATCTCCACTTTGCACAGGTTCCCTTCTTATCAGAATTCCCATTTGAGATGCTTCAGGAAGGCCTGTGAAAGATCAAAGTCAGGGAATACATACCAGTTTATGAGTAACTAACGCTATTAAAGTTTGCAGTCCATGCTCAGCTGTTCCCCACTGGCTGGAGATTTCCCATTCCCACATGCATACACTGCCATCCTCTGCTTCCAGAAAGCAAAAAAAAACTTTGGTACTTTTAACTCTTTGTTTATTTGTTGACAACCAGGGTGTGGGGCATATACTTGGGGGTAGGGGTGGGAGATGTTTGCAGGAAGACCCTGCCAGCACAGGGGAAAGTGGCTTCTCTTCTTGCTGCTGGTCATGTCCTTTCCAACTGCACACCCACTGAAATCTCTAATCTCAGATCAGAAAGGATGCCTAAGGACAGATTCCTCTAGGGAGGGTCCAGTGTTTCTTTTACATAGACACGAGTAGGTCGCTACTGTCCCCTGGTTAATTGCATAATAATTCTCAGCATGCACAATTGTGTTGGCAGAGACCTTATAAGGTCATTGGCTCAAAAAGTATTCCTTAATATTAATTGTGGTATTTCAAGTATAGACATGCTGCATTTTGGATCCCTGTACCTATTTTATCCTCTCACGGCCAGTCCATCTGAAGTGTGTGATCCACAGAATGAGCATAGCTACAAAGGAGGGACCTGCTGGGAATTTACAGCAGGAATAAATTCATTACCAAAATGAAAGCCAAACAGAAAGCAAAATGGATGCTTATTTCTCAGTTGTGCAACTTTTTGATTGGAGATCGGAAGCTAGCAAGTGTTGGCCACTCATGCAGTTCTTCCCCACACTTGAAAATACCTTCTGCAGATTCTGGGCTGTAACTCTTCTCAGGTTTGAAGAGGTTGGTGGGTTTCTTTTTTTCTTTCTTGATAAGATAGTTTTCTAATGCATCAGAACAAAGTTCCTATATGTGTACCTTGCAGTTAAAAGGGGTTTTGTTAGAAAACATTTATTGAGTGAAAGTGAAATGACATTTCACCATTTCTTGATACAGAACTTTTCAGCTCCTTCTGTGTGCATCTTAATGGTTAATTAGCTCTATAACTGGTAATTATTTGATATGGATAGTCCAGATGATATATGTGTCTCCTCAATAAGACTTTTCAAAATGGAATTAGCTAATCAGTATCTGGGAAGCCTTACTTTTGCTGTCCTGGATAATCATGCCATGAATTTCACGGAATAATGCCATAGTTCTGTTAGCCAGCATATGTTTTCTGGTGTACATTGAGAAGGCATTCACTGGACCCTGACCCTGCAATGTGTGGAAGCAAGCATGTCTGGCATGCATGCACTGAGTTTGCCTTTGTGAAAGGACTGCAATCAATTGCCCTGCCTTGCTCAGGGAGTAATGCTTCAGCCTGAGCGTTAAAGGAGCTGTTTTGGAGATACAGTTCAGCACCATGGCCAGCTCCTGACCAGTTCCTCAAAGGCCAGAATGGTGCCAGCACATCGAAGCCAAGCCCTTCCCACTAGCTCTGGACCCTTCCTGGGGCACACATCCGGCGCTCAGAGGGCCAGCAAAGAGCCACCATGGCAGAAGAAGGCTGTGGAGTTGTCAGCCGGAGCAGCTCTTCTCCTCTCCCTTGTAGCCCAATCCAGCCCAACACCAGTAGCAAAGGGAAGCATCTCAGCTGCAAACTCTGAGCCTCTTCTGTGGTGCATTGTAGGTTTTTTAACTATGTCACTTTTTAAAAACTTTCCTGAGTAGTAGCGATCTGAACCAACTGGGTGCTGTCTTGGAGGGACATGGGCACAGGAGGGGCATA